TCCAGCTGTTCCAAACTTATTTCTCTATCCCCCCCCCCCCTTCTAATACTGTCAATACATATTAAATCCATAAAAAGCTTACCACAGTCAAGTATTCACTGATAATTCTCAATAATGTTTGTTCTGTGTTCAATAGTTTTACTATTCTAAATAATGACTTAACTAATTACGTTTTTATGCTGTACGAGGATTATTGGCATTACTGGCCTAATAATTACATGGCATTAGCAACCATGCATGGGAAAAATCCAAATAAAGCATGTATGAACACTGAAACAAGGAATTAGTGTACGTAAGTCTGAACATCTATTTATCACCTTTGTTAAGTTAAACATGCATTGTAACATAAGCTAAGTAAACAGGTATTATGGCAAACAACGCAACTGTGTGACTTGAATAACTCCTAATTAGCCACGTAGGAGGAACTGTCCGCTACATCGCCATATGGCTTGGAGAAATTAATATTTGCTAACATTTCCTTGGCAAATAAATATGTACAGCTTGTCATGCCATTAGAGGGAGAGAGCTATTTTAACATGCACTTGAGGTTGTCATCCATACCAGATTGTGCTTGTAGTAACAACAACCAGAAAGAGTCTGTTCACTGCATATGAAGCCACCACAGGAACAGACATTTTGAACTACGCTAACCTACTTCATTGGTACTGCATATATGGTTTATCTCTCTCTCTATATATATACAAGCTTAACATCTCAAATTATATGAGGGCCCTTTTGACAGCAGCTGAAAAACACAAGTTCTTCTATGTGAAACAATCAGAGTTCATCTTTCGGAGTTTGGGGGGCAGATGTCCATCCATGCGGCCTCCTCCCCCAGCCAGTATTTGCAGTTTCGGTGGCAAGTCCGCAACCGATTTGCTGATGGCCTCTGTGGCAATCTTAGTTGTCTTGGAAACCTGCTTTTCCTCCGAGACCCCAGGCACAGAACTGATGCGTTGGAGCTTCATGGGCAGTTCGCCAAGGCTGTATGTCATTTCTGATGTGGTGGAGCTCATTCTCAGGAGCTTCCTGGGCAGCCCGTCTCTACCTGTCATCTTCTGCACCTTGGCTGGTAATTTGGTCGTGCTCTCCTGATCCTCAAGCAGTTCCAGGCAGTCCAGGGAGCTGTTCTTCTCTCCGCTGTTGCACAGAGATGGGGCCATGAGTGGAGAGGACATGAGTAAGGCCTCGTCCTGCTCTTTCGCACTGTAGGGAGGTGTGGGAACCTCAAATGTGGCGTGGAACTGAGAATAATCCACTTTAAAGAAGCCCTCCTCCAGAGAGATGACCGGGAAGAATCTGTGGCCCCACAGCACCTCATCCTCTGTGTACGACGTCCGCGCTTGACAAGTCATGCCTATCGGAGAAAATACATGAAAAGGAACAAAATTAAGCGGTCAAAGATTAATCAAGCTAATGCAATTGGGAAAAGCATTGCTGCACTCTGAAGAGTACCATACTTCTTTATTACTATCATTTATTATTATTATCATACTTCATCATAATTCTTTATTAGTACAGTGCAACACAGTAATGATGTTCTCAAACATTCTGGCTAAGATTTTTTTTCTTTTCTTCTAAACTCCTAGCCCTAAGTATTAAACATGAATTCAGTCTGAACCAATCAAATTAAACATTATATACTTGACCCTAGGCTGAAGATACAGTAATCGGTTTATCCCTAACCTTAATCTTTAACATTCTGACCTAAATAAAATAAATGCTACAGAAAGTGCATAATATAAATCACTATTCTGTTTGTGCTGTTGCATCCTTTTTTCCATACACTAAACTTCAGTGGTTGTATATGACCAGCTCATAACTCATAATACATTTTGTAATAATTTGCTTATCAAAATAAGATGATTTCTTACATCTATTTGCATACTGAATTGTGATTTGTTTTTTCATCCAAATGATGTTGTTTTTCCTACAAAATTAGAAAAGTATCAGTCAAACAATCACAAGTTAAGAGAGCTTCCACATCCAATTTGATGGCTATGAAACTGCCATACAAAGTTAACAACGGAACAAGAAAACAAAAAACCATGCACTGTGAAATTACTAGACCATTTTTAAGATAACATCTTCAAGACATATGTTTTCTTCTACACCAGTGCTCAGACAGAGTTTGAGTTACAAACAGATCATGATAGATTTGTGCTTGGTCTAGAGTTCTGACATTACAATATTGCAATGACAACACTCTAGTCCAGTGGCTGTTTTTCGATCCAGTGACATAGAGAAGTTTGTCCACACTGATAGCACATTCATAGCCAATTAAAAAATGTCCATCCATCCATCCATTCTCCAAACTGCTTAGAATCACTTGCTGTGAGGAAACAGTGCTACCCAATGAGCCACCATGCTGCCCCAATTAGAAGATATATGGAAGATATTAAATACAATTTTAATTAGTAGATATTTTGAAGATGTTTAATATACTGTACAGTTTAAAATGTATTGAATACTATTCAATTTCCAAAGACTTTTCTATGATTTATATATCAATGGTGCAACAGTATTGTCGCTTTCCTCTTATAGAGGGGAAAAAAAAAAATTACGAAATCTCCTCCTGTGGGTCACAACAAGCCATGAATGTAAATCTTGCTAGCCCCACATTTTATTGTTTCACAATGTTTAAACATTCAGGCACCATCTTTATCTTATCAAGCCAGAACAAATAGAAACAGATTAAGAAAATCAGATTTGCTAAATTTTGTTCTCTCTCTCTGGACCTTATGAAAGTGGTGACGAGATTTTCTTTGAGAGATTAATTGTCATATCTTGACACAATTTACATGCAATATTAGCTTTAGTGCTTTATGCATATATTCACGTGAAATTAAAATACAATGCATGCAACTTAAATTTACTAACAAAACCATGAAAACGTCTCATACATGGAAGGTTTGCAAAGAGGATTTGTTGTCTTGTGTATTATCTATGGTCTTGTTTGGCAGTGTAAAAATAAGTAAAACTGAAAGAAGAGATTTATTTCATTTGTTATATTACTGATATATACTGATTTGACCAATGGTCACATGAAAATGAGATCAATATTTGTGTCATTCCAGTGAACAGAATCTAGTTTGAGCTGGCTTATATCCAGCCTCAATAAAAAATGTACAATGTTGGTGATGAAAAGCAAATATCCACAATACAAAGAGTAATACAGAGGAAGAGAATCAATAAAACTCTCACAAGAACAGAAGCAAAAAGCCCATGTTATCAGCACGGCCCAGGCTGCCTTCAGCCAGCTGACTTATGGGCTAAGTATTGTAGTCTTCTGATTTTCAACCACAAAATGACTTCCTGAGTAGACAAACCTGAGCTCATCAAAAATCCTTTCATAGCACTTTTTTAAACATTAGAAATATTTCAAATGAGGATTACGGAAAAGTGCTCTGTGCTGTATGTTCTGTTAATTTGCCAGTTCATAAGACTAACTCAGACACAGCACAAGTTCCCTTGAAGGGGAAGTTTAGTTATATTACAATACAATATGCCATTTATACAGTATAATACACACACACACACAAACCCCAATATCCCAAATATACCTCTGCATGAACACGTCCTGAAGCACTGTGACATTAGCATGTCCTCAGGAGATCTTGGTGTGGTATCGGATTCGACAACAATGCATTGACGTCTGTCTCCTGCTTGTATCGATTCGATTCAAGCTAGACCAGTCACTCACTATGAAACAGTTTCAAAGACTGTTAGGCCTGATGTCAGCAGCGTCCAATGTAAAAGCTTTTGGCCTGCTGTACATGAGACCTTTGCAGTGGTGGCTCAGGACCCGAGGGGCAACCCATTTTACATGATCAAGGACATGCAACGATCCTTTCGTGCCTTAGTCATGTGGAGGAACCTTGGTTCTTGTCCCAGGGTCCTGTGTTGGGAGCTCCTTGTCGTCAGGGGGGTCTGGGGTCATGCCTGCTTTGCAAACCGGCACACCAGATCCTCCTGTGGGCCCAGGGAAAGCGGCTCTCCCTGAGGGCATGCAGTCTACATTCCTGGGTACCTCAACCAGGGTGCAGACATCTTGTTGAGGAAGGGGCCAAAGCCCAGGGAATGGAGGCTCCACCACCTCCAGATTTGGAGGGTGTTCAGCCAAGCTCAGGTGGACTTGTTTGCGTCTCGACAGACCTCACATTGTCCACTCTGGTTCTCCCCTCACACATTCAGCTACTCTGGGACTAGACGCTATGGTGCAGATGTGGCAGAGGCTGCATCTGTACACCTTTCCCCCGATTGCTCTGCTTCCGGGAGTTCTGGAGAGAGTCAGCCGGGATGGGGCTCGTTTGCTGCTAGTTGCCCTGTTCTGGTTCTGGAAACTCTGGGTGTGGCCTCTGAGTGGTTCCACTTTATAGATTCCAGTCTCTCAATTGAGGTTGCTGAGACCATACTCCACTCCAGAGGTCCCACCACAAGGAAACTCTTTGAAGTAGGCCCCGTTCATTTCTTGGCTCAGTTGCAATCAGCTGGACCCAGTTAACTGCCAGGTTGGTTCAGTCCTAGAGTTGCTGCAGGAGGGGTTCTCCACAGAGTTGATTCCCTCTACCTTAAAGGTGTATGTGGCAGCCATAGCTTCTTACCACGCCCCTTTAGGTGATAAGTCTTTAGGGAGGAACCCGTTGGTGACACATTTCTTCCGTGGTGCTTTGAGGCTGAAGCCTGCAACTCATATTAGAATCCTGGCCTGGGATTTGGCCGTTGTCCTAGAAAGACTGTGTAGAACTCCTTTTGAACCTATAGAGGAGGTTCCTGAAAATGTTTAACACTTAAAACAGTGTTTCCCTTAGCCATTTCATCTCTCAAGAGAGATGGTGATCATCTCTTTCTGTACCTGAGGCCTGGTTACGTGCCAAAGGTGCCCACTAATGCTCCAAGGCCCATCGTGTTGCAGGTCCTCCCCCTTTTAGAAGTTCAGAAAAGGAAAAGCTTAATTTAATGTGTCCAGTCAGAGCACTGGATGCTTATGTCCACAGAGCTGCCCTGTGAAGGAAATCAGATGCTTTGGTCCACCTAAGAAAGGCTTTCCGGCAACCAAGCAGACATCAAGCAGGTGGATTGAGGTTACTGTATCTCCCTTGCTTATGAGTCCTCTGACCTCCTTTCAACTTTGAGGGTCAGAGCTCACTCAACTAGGAGTATGGCAAAGTCCCTGAGAACCTGACACATTGCACTTCTGGAGACTCCAGGTAGGTTGCAGTTTTGGAAATTGGTGGCGCTGGAGACTAAATGGTTCCTGATGGTTTCATACCTAATTCTTCACCTTAATTCTTAATTATTTTACAGTTAACATTTGTCTCTTCTTCTCTACCGTTTTTTTTTTTTCTTTTTTTTTTCTGACCGTGCTGACCCAGTGAGCATTTCGCTGTCCAATGGTCATGCCTTAACTTAGCAAATTCTAGGATTGCATTAGTATTGCATCCTTCTCATGGGCATTTAATTTTTGACTTTCAGTCTGAGTTAAATCTCTTTTTTGGCTCATTTTATCTGTAAAAGAAAACATGCCTAATAATTGTGCACACCTGAATATAAGGAGTTTTTCACTTCCAGCCTTCATGGACAATTATATATCACTTATAAATGATTAAATGCAATTAATAGTAGTTGTTAAGACTGATGTGGTTTGGAATTGGTAAATTGTGCTTGGAAAAAATATGATCAGAATATCAACTTGCCTAACCTATGTAAAAATAATAGTAACAGCAATAGTTGCAAACACCGCTAATAATGTCAAACATAAGCAATAGGTTTTATGCAATCAAAACTACAATGCTGTGTTTCTATGAAAACCCAATCTTGCTATGTGTACATGCACAGCTCTTGCATCCAAAGCTGTTCTCTCGTACGCATATGTTAATGTCATTAATAAACAAAAGACGATTGATCTGAAATCAGCAGCACAGCAGTCTGAGGGTTATAACACAATCAGTCACCACTATTTCCCCAAGTCATGAAGAGTGTTGGTTGTAAAAACACACGCACTCCAGATGTTTTATGGGATGCCAGTATCATCCCATAAAACATGTGTGTGATTGTGTTCAGCTGGACGCAGGGCTGCATTGCAGTGGTGTAGGGTATATTGTGGGGAAACTCCTCAGTGCATCAAGCATACAGTAGTATAATTTAATGAACAACCATGTCAGCTCTGTGGATGACAGCAGAAAGAAAAGCAACCAAGTCATCTGAAGCCCTGTGCCTTGAGTTCTCCTCTGACCATTCAAATATGCTCAATATGATTTCATTTCTAAACCACCTGAGAGTTAAACTCAATAAACAACACAGTACGTAGCATGGAAATATCAATGTCAGTTCTTTGAAGGAAAATTGTACTTTATC